CAAAGTGTGTGTACAATCATGTCGATGCCTTCCCGCGATCCTCGGAAGTACCTGAAACACATAACACATAACACATAACACGGTAAACACGAATGCTTAGTGAGTTCCCAAAAATACCACATGCATATAAATTAGCCACTCGAGGCTATGACTCTTTAATACCTTCTGGTCAATGTGTCTTAGTGGGACCTTCCGATCCCACAATTCTAGTAGACCTTCCGGCCCAACTCTGACTGCCTTCCGACCAAAACTATGATTGCCTTCCGGCCATAACTCTAATTGCCTTCCGGCCATAACTCTGATTGCCTTTCGGCCTTAACCTTGTTGACCTTCCGGTCCCAAACATACAACATATACATATCACATAAATTCACATAACTCATATCAATACATAAGACCTTCCGGTCACATATAAATTCCACTCTAAGTAACTTATAGTGAAAAGACTCACCTCGAACTATCTCGGAATAAGCTCATACTAAAATCTCCGGTCTAGCCTCCATCTAATACATAAACAAAAATTCTTGTATAATAACAACACTCATTAAGCTAGACCACCCCCACCCTTTTATGCTCTCTCTCTCTCTCTCAAAAGGGTAAAAGACCATTTTACCCCTTCATGAGTCCAAAAGTCCATTTGTTGACCGAACCCTAAAAGTCAACAAAAGTCAACGCCCGCGAGTAAGCTGCGCGTACCAGATCCCTACGGTGGGCGTACTCGTCCTCTTCGCTGGTATCAGGGTAATCGAACCCTACGCCCCGCGTACTGGGATTTACGCTCAGCGTACGTCCAAGTTTCACTATTTCCCACTTATGGTCTTAATCAGTTAAGACCTTCGCTCAAAATACAGATCTCGACCCCCTACAGTCTCCTAGTCTATAAAGTCAAAGACTTTACGCCTTTGCATGGCTAGTTTGGCTTTAAACACTCAAAACATTCATCCATTTTCTTCCTTAAGCTCATATCCCATGCATGGCTAGTTCTTATTGACCAAGATTGGATTTTTATGACCTTATAACACGAAATACACTAGCAAGGGACAGATCTAGGTTCTTAGAGCTCATCAACTCATAAAGCTATCAACTTTTGGGACAAAAACCCTAAAACATCCCAAATAAGAACACACAACAGAAAAGGAAGAAAGTTTGAAGCTTTATACCTCCAAATGAAGCTTCTCACAGTGCTAAGCTCAAATCCAAGTGCTTGGGCTCTTACTCCTTCTTCTCCAAAGCTTCATTTCCACTCTTAAGGCTCAAGAACACACCAACAAGGTCTCAAGGGCACTCTCTAGCTACAAGAATGAGGATTAGGGTTTTGGATGGACAAGTCTCTAGAAATGGTGGCCAATACTGAAGCCATAACGTTCTTTAAATAAGAGACTCATTTAGAATTAGGGTTTCATTTTGGGCCTAGTATGCCCCGCGTACCAGGCATCCTCTACATCATTAATACACTCACGAGTACGTGCGACGTACTCCCTATTATGCCCAGTGTACTCGATTATCACACAAACTACACAAGGGCTAAAATTGACAACTTAAGGAAAGAAGAAGGGCTAAGGAGATATACCTGATTTCAGGATGTTACAAAAACAATGAAATTAATATTTATTTTAGATTGAAAATAGTGGCATAAAAATAGTGCAACTAAAACCTACAAGGGATATAGTGACATAATAGAAAATTGCCACTAAAACCCAATAAGGCTGCAACGACATAACCAAAAAGTGTCACTAGAGGCCTTTGGTGGCATTTTTTTGTGCCGTTGATTGCCTAGGGGGCCTTTAGTGACACTTTTTTGTTTTTTAGTGACACTTTTTCTATGCCACTAAATGTCATTTTATTTGTAGTGAGAGACAATTCAATCTGACCATCAAAGGTTGCTCATAGCCTTATTATAAACCATGTCCAACTATTACAATCTTACTGGATCAACTGAAAAGAGCTCAAAGGTATTAACTTTAATTTTGAATTTTAATTGATTAATTACACTATATACTAACTTCAATACAATTTAAACAGGTATTGACAGGTTTTACCAAATGGTTTAAACCAGTTTGAAATAAGAAATTTGATAGAGTCTTATGTTGTGGATATAGATAAAAAGACTTGTTCATGTAGAGTGTGGCAACTAAATGGGTGTGGATGTGTACATTCAGTTACAACCTAAGCAGTTATCGCGGTTCTCGCAGTGGTATAACGGTGATATAGCGTTTTTTATATTATATATATATATATATATATATATATATATATATATATATATATATATATATATAAGTATTAACTAGTAAATCATACTTCAAAGTTCAACCAAATCCAGTTAATTAGTCAATCAACAAATCATAATTCACATATCATATTTAGTTAATCATACTTCACATATCTTAATTAGTTAATCATACTTCACAGACAAGTTACCAATGTCACAATTAATCATACTTTAACACAATCAACAAGAAAACATATGCAATACTTATTAGTTTATCATAGTTTAACACAATTACAGTTAGCAAATAAAATGATTAAGTAATTTGATAGTTAATCATAATGTAGTACTTCAAGTTTTCAACATAATTAGCAAGACAAAACATACATGGTTTCAATGGAAGTCCTGACAATCACAATTTTACAATTTTATTCAATGGAATGACACAAAAGTTTTGGTTTGGCCTAAGAAAAAACAATTTTATTCAATGGAATGACACAAAAAAATATTTTATTTTATGTAAAATAGCCCAAAAATTGAATTTATTCAAATAGCGGTTATAGCGCCGCAATAGCAGTGACTATAATTGCGGTAAGTAGTGGTAAATCATGGTGCTAATAACGTCACCACTATTCTAAACCGCTATTTTGAAATAGCATTTCATTACCTCTGCTAACCGCTATAGCACCGTTATTAACTACATAGGTTGCAACTATCTCATACTTAAATAATGATGTTGGTAGTTATGTGGATCGAATGTACTATGGAGTAATTTACAAGAACACCTACAAGTATCAAGTGCGTGTGATGAATGGTAGCAATATGTGGCCATCTATTGAATTCATTGCACCTTTGCAACCATTAAAGAGAAAAAATGCCAGGTAGACCTAAAGTTAATAGAAGAAAGGATGCAAGTGAAAGGGGTGCAAGACACACTGTGCCAAAGGTCGGGAAAAAATTGTGTGTAGTGTATGCAAGCAAGTAGGACATAACAAGGTTACATGTTCTCAAGTTGAAAACCCAACAAAACTCAAGGTAAAGAAAAGGAAGAAAATAGATGGTAAATGTTATGAGGGAAGCAATGGTAAGAAGGGAAAAGGTAGTATAGATGGGGAAGGAACCAGTGGTAAGAAGGTAAAAAGTGGTAAATATGGGGAGAGAACTAGTGGTAAGAAGGGAACCGATGATAAGTATGGGGAGGGAAGCAATCTTATCAAGGGTACAAATGGTAGTGATGGGGAAGGAAGTAGTGGTAAAAAGGAAATGGATGGTAAAGATAAGCAAGGAGCTAGGGGTAAGAAGGTAATTATCAAGAAAAGAAAGAAGTCTGAAAGAATTATCAAGAAAAAACTTGCTACAAGGGTTGAGGATAAGAATGGGAAAGGCAACACTAGTGACGAGCCAATGGAACTTGAATATGAATTAAGTTGTAATGTCGGTCTTTATTTACTTGTTATTTAGGATCAAATTGTGATGTTTCGAATTAGGTTTGGATGTTTGGTGTTATGTACTTGTGATGTTTCGAATTAAGTTTGGATGTTTGGTGTTATGTACAATCGTTTGCAATGTTAGTGGTTTGAATGTGGTTATGATTGTGTGTTATTTATGGATGTACATGATATTGGGATCCTTTTTAGACATTAGTTTAACTGCATGTAGTCCCATTTGTCCAAGTTAAAGCTATTTCCAATGCCACTATCAACAAATAAAGCACCAATCTAACATACCCATTGTTTTTTGATTAAAATGAAATAAAGATACATGGACAATAGAGTACTTTCAATTACAAGGAAATTAACATCAACAAACCATTACAACTTGTAAACAATTATGCAAAAGAAAACAATCCAACTAACAACTAAACACATCTTCAGCTTCCAAATCGTTGATTCAAGCTTCTTTTTTGACATAGCCAAACCTGCAATCATAACTGCTTCAACACCCATATTCTTAGTATCTGCTTCTTCTACCCAACAAATAAAACCATTACGAGGTCCCTAACAAAAAGAATTTTTGAGTGAGAGACTAAGAATGGAAGAAACTAATAAATTAGGGCTATAGTGGACATATAAAGAACACACACCTTAGTGGGGCAAGCATATAAGGGTCTTCCAGGGTTAGACGGAGTGGAAGACATTCTTATTATGGCAATACATCCACACAAGCATTTCACCATTTTCGCTTCATTAATTCCAAGGGCTCCTTAATTCCAAAACCAAACAATAATAAGGAAAATGAGAGTGTTGTATGTCCACTTTACTGTTGAGTAAGGAAGTAAAGTACTTATAAAGAGGAAATGATGAAAATACCCCTTTATTTGACCTCACGCACATTTGTTATAGTTGATGTACCAAACACACTTAATTACCATTAACTAAGGCAAACAAAGTACATCCAAGTATTCATATTTACCAAACAACAACAAATTCATAATCTTTTCTATTGCTTATCGTGTTCATGGATCCATCAGAAGTTACCCTAAAACAACACCAATGAACGCACGAAATTATAAGCTATTCATGCATGATTTTATCAGGCGTGTTTTTCAATTTATATTTATACCAATATCATACCAAAATGCCTACTACATGCAACCATGACTTCAAAATACATCCAAACATTACCATTACAACCACCATTGGAGTACCACTACCTACACAAACTGGATTACCATTAACACAAACTAAACACACATAATCCTAATAATGTATATAACAAGAAACACCATTAAACCTAACAGTAGACTACGAGTACTAGATTAGCATACCACCACAACCTATATCCATGAGATTCACTTGCTGATTATCAAGTGAATGATAAAAATCATGACTAGAAACATGTTGACGACAACACCTACAACCAATAGAGCAATCGCTTTAATTTGCTTCTCAACATGGTCAAACATTTGTTGCATGTTGAGGACATCCACTCTGGAATGAAGGTAATCTCGACCCATCTCCTCCTTCATACGCTCGACCTGACCTTGTTGCTCAACTATCTTTTCACCACAGTCATAGAAGATCGTGTGCAAATCGTTCAAGTTAAGCTCGTCTGTTGAGCTTATGGAGTTTTTGGAGTTTATAGTATCTGGTGATGGTGGCGGGGTAGGATCCATGTGAAGACAGTGAAGGGAAAAGGGAGTATTGTCGAATGGTTGTCGGCTAGTGTTTGGCCGGAAATGGTAACAATATTTTAGGGTATTGTCCAACAGATCCTTCTATTATATATCGGGGGACCACTAAATCCTTAGAGCCCAAGCACGCCAACTCATTCGTGAGTTGGGAACGTATCATCCGAGTTGGGTGAGTGTACTCACTAATTGAGTTGCGTGATGACTAGGCAAGAAAACCGGTTGAATTGGGTTAAAATCCCTAATTAGCCAGTAAAACGTGAACTCATGCCCTTATAAAACCAAAAAATAACATAATGGACCTTTTAAACTAAAATGTGTAAGTTCGTGGGGGCTACAGCGACATTTTTGCTGGTCAAATGCATTTAACTTTTATTTATTTATTTATTTATTTTTTCAAAATGACGCCGTAATAGGCATTTCCAAGGTCCAAACGTAAGTTCAGGTCCAGGGTTTAGCGAAGTTAATGGTTATTTTGAAAAACCTCTCATTTCTTTTACTTCATTTTGGAAAAAGCTATCAGGATTAGCTAGAATTTTATCTTTCTCTTTTAAAATTTAAGGACTAAGGTGTCGTTTGTTTTTTTAAAAAACCTCTTCAAATCACTTTCTGTTGCGCGGCGCAGCACACACGCAACATTTTCCCTCTCGCAATTGTTTGTTTTTTGGAAGACTTCAGACTGCAAAACATCTGTGCGTGTGTTGTGTGGCACAATACTTGACTTACCTCTTTGAACCTCTTCAGCTTTCATTTTTTGAATTGTTTTTTTTTTTTAGAATTTTGGTATAAGTTATTTTTTTAAACTTTTTTTTTTTAATTTTTATTTACGGATTTGATACAATTTCTTATTATAGTTTCCACAAATTTTTTTGAACTTGATTTTTAAAAAAACAATAACTTAAATTTTTTTTTTGATTTTTTTACCATTTCTTTAATAATATTTTCAATTTCAATTTCATTTTTTTAACGTGTGTACTTTTTACAAACTTTGTAGACATCATTTGCAATTCTTTCTTAATTTTTTTTATTATTTTCTTTTTTATGTTTTTTAAAATTAGTTTTTTTTTCTAGAATAAAGTTGTTAGCTTCTTTTATATTTTTGTAAGTTTTTTTTAAAGTTTTATATTTTTGTTTTTTTATATGTTCTTTTTAGTACTCTTTCAATGTTTTAATACTAGAATTATTTAAATTTCGATGTTGAAAACTATTTTTAGTTTATAAAATTAGTTTATTTAAATTTCAGTTTACTGCAGCAGTCTACAGATGTTAAAAAACAAACATGCTTCTTATTATGGGCTGCAGTCGTTTGTTCCACCTCTTCTGCTGCAGAGGTGATCCGCAAACTTCACGAATTTTCGTTTCGAAAAAACAAACAGCACCTAAGTAACCAAAATTATTATTTTGGAAAGTGCTTGTTTTTTAATATATTATTTGGTGTAATATGCCAATAAGGATTCAAATGTATTTTCTTTATTTGTTTTGAACTTATATGCAAAATATAACGCATTCAACCAACGTGTAAGTAACCTTCTTACATGTGTAGATTTTTTTTGAACTTTATTTTAAATTGATATGGTATCCTATGTAAGTTGTTTTTTTTCTTAATTAATTAATAGATTTAAGCTTGCTTTTGACTATTAGTTTGCATCCAAATATCCTTCACGAGTTCACGTTCATGAACTCATGTGCATTATGGTCCAATTCATATTTTTGTAGATAAGCAATTGAACACGCATTCTTCTTATATTAGATGATAAATGTTAAACAAAAATATTTGTGAAAATAGAATAGTGTCATTAGATTTTGTTATTCTTGCATATTTATCTAAAAAGAGCAATTAAATTAATAAGTATAAAGGTTAAAAAATTTACCTCACTTTTTATTAAAGTGTTTTTCTTGAAGGGGTATCCTGCTTTAACCACATAAATAGAGGGACTATTTTGTAAAAATCTACTCAATTGAAGGGCTTGAAGCAATTAACCCTATAATTTACTTCAAAACTTCCGTCTTCCGCCACCCCTGACTGCCGAAACCCTCGCGCATCTTTCTCAGTCCTTTCACTTTCACAGCCATGAACATCAGCTCCGTGAAGCTAGAGACAAACCCTAGCGCAACCGCGTTCAGGTCTCTGAACGGAAGCGTTCGGAGCTACACAACGACCGGCCTTCCTCACGTCTCTCTTCACCACCACTCATACCACCGGAGAAATGCTTCAATTTCATGTTCAGCTTCTCCGATCGTAACCCTGGAAGAAAGGAAGGGTGAAATACCGAGTCGAATCGGGTCATTAGGTCAGGTATCGGGAGTGTTGGGTTGCCAGTGGGGTGACGAAGGCAAGGGCAAGCTCGTTGACATCTTGGCAAAGCACTTCGACGTCGTTGCTCGTTGTCAGGTACTTTCCTCTCATCAAATGCTTGCAAAATTTATTGGTTTAAGATGCATAAATTCATATTCTGATTATGCATGTAAAGTATACGCCGTCGATTTCAAATTCAAATCGCCAAGGCTAACATTCTCTGTGACATTTCTATCGGAAGAGGAATTTCCATCTTCTGATCATAAAAACTCTTTCTCGACTTTTACATTATTCAATGTCATTGAATCTCTCAGGGTGGAGCAAACGCCGGACACACTATCTACAACTCGGAAGGAAAGAAATTCGCGCTTCATCTTGTTCCCTCAGGGATTCTCAACGAGGAGACGATGTGTGTAATAGGAAATGGAGTTGTAGTCCATCTTCCTGGACTTTTCCAAGAAATTGACAACCTTGAATCCAATGGGGTTTCCTGTAAGGGAAGGATCTTAATTTCAGATCGAGCTCACTTATTGTTCGACTATCATCAAGAAATAGATGGCCTTCGAGAAGCTGAGCTAGCTAAATCCTTCATCGGCACTACCAAGAGAGGAATCGGGCCATGCTACTCCAGCAAGGTCATCCGAAATGGCATAAGAGTATGCGACTTGAAGCATATGGACACCTTTCCAGACAAGCTTGATCTTTTGCTATCAGACGCAGCTTCAAGATTCCAGGGTTTTGAATACAGCTCAGAAGTACTCAAAAAAGAAGTTGAAGTGTATAAAAGATTTGCAGAGAGGTTGGAACCATTTGTTTGTGATACTGTTCATTACATGAATGAATCCATTTCACAGAAGAAGAAGATTCTTGTAGAAGGTGGTCAAGCAACGATGCTGGATATTGATTTTGGGACTTACCCTTTTGTCACATCTTCAAGTCCTTCAGCTGGTGGAATCTGTACAGGACTTGGGATTGCTCCTAGAGTCCTTGGTGATGTGATTGGTGTGGTAAGTCTAAGACTTCTTCACTTATAACATATCTATCTAAACATGGTATCAGACCCTTTTATCTCATATCATATCTAACTAACAATCATAATGTAGGTAAAAGCATACACTACTAGAGTTGGGTCTGGACCTTTTCCTACAGAGCTACTGGGTGAGGATGGTGATCTGCTCCGGCAAGCTGGGCAGGAGTTTGGCACCACCACCGGCCGCCCTCGCCGGTGCGGTTGGCTTGATGTAGTTGCTCTGAAATATGTTTGTCAAATTAACGGGTTTTCTTCTCTGAATTTGACTAAACTTGATGTGTTATCGGATCTTTCTGAGATTAAGCTTGGTGTTTCTTATAAGCATACAAACGGGACACCTATGAATTCGTTTCCTGCTGATTTAACTGATCTTGAGGAGTCAAAGGCAAGTTACACTTTTTCTTTCTTTCTTTCTTTCTTCTAAATTGCAGGGTTTGGGAATCAAATTCTAAGATTTTTCTTTCTTCTTTTTGGTGTTTTAGGTGGAATATGAAAGTATGCCAGGGTGGCAGGCTGATATTTCGTCTGTAAGGAGCTATGTGGATCTTCCAAAGGCTGCACGTGAGTATGTGGAAAGAATAGAAGAACTTGTTGGTGTTCCGATTCATTACATTGGTGTTGGACCTGGACGTGATGCTCTTATATACAAATGAAAATTCACATGAGTTTGAATTTGGAGCAATTTCGTTAGTTAGATTGGAAGCTCCTTTTTTAACCTTCAATTGAATCCAACTTTTCTCAACAACTGTAAGGATTTTGTTGGTAGGTATATGATGCTTTTGAGTAAGCTGATTTGGAATAAAGCAAAACTACTACTTGTGTTGGGGATTTCTCAGATTTTGCATGTTTACATGGTTGTATTTGTATCATATAATCATGTGATGTTTGTGTGATGGAAGAAGTGGTGTCTCATCTCACATAGACTGTGTTAGACGTAGTAAGATGGGTTGATGTGTTTGATTTTGAGTGTATCTTCGTAGAAATTGATTTTGTGTTTGGTTTTTGCCTTCATATGCTAAGATATCTTATTTGTATTGTCTTGATGTTCTATGTTGTGACAATATTCTTTTGGGTTTCTTTCAAGATTAAAGGATAATGCTATAGAAAGTCTTAAGTTTGGCCGAAAATGTCGATTCTACCTTCAGGCGGATTTTTATTTTGTTTATACCGCAAACTTGTTATTTATTTTTTTTATTTTTTTTCGGTTTTGTCATTTTTATCTATAATAACATGTTTTCAGGTTATCATGAAAAAACCCTTAAGTTTATAAATATTTTGCAAAAAAAAAACCTTAAGATTATAAATCTTAGTAATGATCTACAATATGTTGTTAATGATTTTAGAATTCGTATTGATGAACATACAATGTCATTGTTTTATATAAAGATCAAATGGAACAAATTCCTTAATAAGGTTAATATATTTTGATAGAGAATTGTTTTGAACCGTTTTTCTACTAAAACAAACTTTTGTAGTTGTGGTATTGACAAATGTTTTTAATTTTGTTTAGAAAAGTTTAGTGTTAATCAAGGATAAAACTAAATAATTCTTTAAAATTTAAATAATAAAAGTTTATATCGAACCAGTATAAAATTTATCATACTTAAAGGTAAAAATATATTTCGGTTTTTGTTTCATAATATAAGTAAGGTGAAATTTATATTGGTTTGATATAAACTTTTGATATTTAAATTTTAAAAAACTATTTAGTTTTATCAAATTTTGAATATATATATATATATATATATATATATATATATATATATATATATATATATATATATATATATATATATATATATATATATATATATATATATATATATATATATATATATATAATCTTAAAGGCTTTTTTTTGCAAAATATTTGTAAACTTAAGGATTTTTTGATAATAATATTTCATGGTAACCTGAAAACCTAGTATTTCAAATAAAAGTGGTTAAAACAACAAAAAAATGGTGAGTTTGCGATATAAACAAACCAAAAATCCATAAAAAGTTAAAATCGATATTTTCGGTCAAACTTAAGGCTCTTTATGATATTATCCTCAAAATGAACGATAAAAGTTAATTCGATGAATAATGTTTGTTGGATTAACCAATCTTTGAAGTTTCAAATGATGAAACATTGGATTTCTTTTCAAAAGCTAAGGTGTAATAAAAAAAAAATAGGCCAAACTACTTGTGAAATAGTCATTAAAGTTTTTTTTTTTTTTTTTTTTTTTTTTTTTTTTTTTTTTTTTTTTTTGCATATCTTGTAATTAAACAAAATACCATTATATTTTGATGAATTCTTTTAATCCCAAATATTTTCTGTAAATTTAGTCACTAATTATATATATATATATATATATATATATATATATATATATATATATATATATATATATATATATATATATATATATATATATATTCACCGGTTATTTTATTTTGTATATATTTTACTACTAATCTTACATGGTATAAAAATGCTATATTTAATTAGGGGAAATGACTTAAAACGGTAATGAAGTTTCCAAAATGTACAAAAAAGAATATTGTTTTTCATTTAGTACACAAAATACCATTGAACCGATTATTGTAGGTAAGCATTAGGTTACCCGATTATTAAATATTCAAAAAAATACCATTGTTGTTTTTTTAGTACAAAAATACAACTAAACTTACTATTTATACACAGAATACCAACGAAGTACACATGTATTCAAATAAAACCTTGTGATAACCGGTTATTTTAAGTAAACAGAAAAATGACTTAAAAGCGTAACGAAGTTTCCAAAATGTTCAAAAAAATACCACACTTTTTGTTAACTTTATTGTTGTTAAATTATGTAGAACACAGTCACCGGAGATCATGCATCATCATATTAGATCACAACAGTCGTGCTATCTTTTTCATTCCCTCACTTGATCGTTCTTACAGTAACATGAGAAGTCAGTAGGTAATAACCTTGGTTAAACATTCTTGCTTCCCGATGACATTATATGCCTCAAACCTAAAACATATATATGTTATATAGATGCACATATTATACATCAATGTTTGTTGTTCATTAGTGTTGCGACACAAGAGAGACACAAAGGAGAAACAAGTGTGACATTATCTCATGAGAATTCCTAAATGTGGATGTAGAAAGTAAGAGTTGCGTTTAATTCTTTGAGACCAGTAAAAGATGAATAATCAGGAACACTCAATGTCATGTGGCTTATTTGATAACGATTTGTAGTCAAAGTAGAGAGAGGAGAATATGTGTTGGAGCGCTTAAACGACTTGCATCCTAATTTATGGAATCTTAGTTACGTGTTCTCCTGTGATTGTATTTAGATACAAACGGATAGAGTGATGAAATGAAAGAGAATGCACAACTGGTATGAACTGGTACATCGATGAATGATCTCCGATGACCGTGTCTTATATAATCCGGAAACAACGAAGTTAACAAAATGTGCTCTGAGAAAACAACAATGGTATTTTTTTTTGAACATTTTGGAAACTTCAATGGTATTTTTAGTACTAAAATATTTACTTTGTTGGTATTCTGTATACAAATGGTACCTTTCAATGATATTTTTATACTAAAGGAAATATAGTATTTTTTGAACATTTTTGGAAACTTTATTAGCCTGTCATTTTTATGTACCACAAGTTTTATTTGAATACAAGTGTACTTCTTTGGTATTCTGAGTACAAAAAATATACTTTAATTTTATTTTTTATACTAGAAAAACAAAAGTATTTTTTTTTTAATATTTTGAAAACTTCATTAGTTTTTTTATTTTTAAGTCATTTTCCCCTTTTAACTACGCTAAAAGAGAGACGAATGAAAAGGCTTATATGTCTGAAAAGGCTTATATGTCATTTTACTAGGTATATCTTGACATTTCTTTAAGAAACATTCGTGGAGAGCCGCCTCACGAAAGCCGTTATAGTTGTAAACATCTGGTTCCTGATTTAATCACTTGTACCCTGCAACCATTCAATGCAATGGTCTCCGATATAGCGATTCATACACTAGTTTATAGCAAAATACATGTTACTACGCAGTAGTATTTATAAATATTATATAAACATATATTTACGTATAACTAAAATATTTTTACAAATAAATATGTGTTTTGTATAAATATATATGTTTATATCCTTTATAATTTAACCATATTTTTATATATACATTTATATACATAAATTCGGTATTTTTTATTATGTACTAATATAATAAAATTAAACCGTATCTCAACATCAAATTGTCTTATCTATCTAATAGTTCCATATCTTGTCGTTTGAATCCTTAAAAGTAGGAAAACAATTGGATATCAATGATAAAATCAAACCTTTTCTCGGTGGTTGTAAAAAATATTGTTTAGTTTTATGATATTAGTTCGTAATAGAAAAATACCGTATGTATATAAAAAAATACATTTTAAATAAAAAAAATATTTTAAATGAAAATATGATTTTTTTTAATTTAAAATTACATATATTTATACACAGATTACACATTTATTTGTAAAAATATTTTATTATATGTATATATATGTTTCATATAAAAAATTATATATATACTACATAATAATGTGTATTTATATTATATAAGATTAATGGTAAAATATATACCAAAAAAAAGAAAAAAAAGACTAATATGTAAAAAAAATAAAAAAAAATAAAAAAAATTAAGGTTAGTGAATAAATAGATACAAAAAAAAATGAATATCAACTAAATGTGTTGAATGAAACCTATAATAGCCGATCATAATGATATTTTGTGAACAAAGTAAACAAGCTCAATTCAATGGTAATAATAATAATAATAATAATAATAATAATGAGTAAATGTGTACATGAAACATGGTTGCCCTTGCAAGTTATCAACCCTAAAGTTAGATGTGGGATGCCACCTCTTCAAAAATCAAAGAATCCTCATGTCATAGACAAAATCAACACCATTTTCAATATATTTCAACCCACAAGCTGCTTCTTTTGTGTTCCATCTGTAGAAACATGTAAAAGGCAAAAACCTTATGTTGCAAAACTCATCAATAGCTTATAGCTAATAGCTAATAGCTTTCTAAAAGAAAAATCTAACCTTTTGCTCTTTTGGGATTTGGCCTTCTATATACATGTGACATATCTTCATATATATACCACATGTATCTTCTGTTTTTGTTATCATACATTAAAGGTTGCAAGGACCTTTTTCATTTTGTTCCTTTGCATATGTTTCTCCATTTATCTTTAAGGTCTATAGTGGTACGTCCTTTGTGGAACACACTGTCTCCAAAATCCAAAATCTCCTTCCATGGAATTTTTTTATCACCAACACTTGAATATCTCTCCACACCTTCCTAACAAGTTTAAACAATTGACATGAATTACATTGTAATAATATAGTTTTTATAGTCATATCCAAGATCAAATTAATTATTTATATAAATAAAAAAACACACAACTACCTTGAGTGTTTCTTCCTCTGATTTTGTCCATGGGATTGTTTTTCGTCTCACCAAAGGAACAACTACTGGAGGGGTGCTACAAAATAAAAACAAATTATATTGCGAATTTCCAATCGATGGAATGAAATAATAAAAGGAAAGGAATCACATTCCTTCAATGGAATCAACGATTCCATTCCTTTTCAGAAAGCTAACAACTTACTATTGTGCTTTCCTCTTGCGGAGTTCTCTTGAGGAACTAGACTCAATAATTTCCATTTGACTTTCTTTTTCCTTAAATTTCCGTTTTGGTGTGCTTGGTTGTGGTATATCTTTATCCACATGTCTACTAACAATGTCACTCTCATTGACATTGACTTTGACTTTGACTTTCTTTTGCGCTTCACCTTCTGTCATATTTTGATTGGCTACATTTCCTTCACTTTTTTTCTTAAAAGATTCATTAGTTCTACTACCCTTTTTGACTGTGAAGCTAGAAAAAGCTTGTAGATCATTTCTGGCTTGTGAAGCCTTTCTTTTAGCTTCCTGATACTCTGAAATTGCACGAGAATACGTGCAAAATGGGCAGAAAAAGTTTGAATTTTCATCAAATGTGATAGCAAACCCTAAACAACTCTCATGAATCTGTAATGGGCAGGAATCAGAACTACAAACTAACAACTCACCACCTTCATTACACTTCACACAAAGATTCATCAAGGAATCTGTTTGATCACCATCTTGTTCCATGGAGTTTTCATCTTTGCTTAAATGTTCATCTTCATCCAATGCATTTGGTTCAACATTTTTGTTGTCTTTTAATTTAACAACAGACTCTACATTCTCCATGCTATCAACAGATACCCTTTTCTCATGTGTGTCTTGGGGTGATTTTTCATCATTAAAATGAAGCTGAACATCACTTACTTGCTCAGTTTCTTGAAACTTTCCTTTATCTTTTCTTGGGTTCAAAATGGTTGTATCATCTTTAGCTACTGTATCTTGAACATCAAGATTCTCATCATTCACTGGACTTGTATTTTGAGATGCATTTGGAATTACCAGTTTACTCTTTTCTTTCAATGATGTGAGAAGTGGGTGACTACTTTCAAGAAGCATGTCCTTCAACTGTTTTATCAAAACAAAAACACAGCCAAGTTAGCAATATGTATGTTGGCTAATGTTAAGAAAATCCTTGGATTTTCTCTACATTTTTTGAAAAGCCATTTAGTTTTTTATTTTTGAATTGAAGGTACTCAAAAAACAAAAACTTGTTGATCTAAAGATTTGAGTCGGTTTAACCGGTTTATGAAAAAAGATGATTCAAGAATACCCTTGTATTTTGGCCATTTTTCTAAAAAACATCATTTTTATTTTGCCATTGAAACTATCGAATAAAAGAAGCTAATGTCAAGAATACCCTTGTAGTGTGTTGACATTAACAATGTATATGGCATATGTATATGGAAAGAAATTTTTACTTATTGATTTAAGGATTCATCTTTATGTATGTTGTTAGTGTGCATGGCCTATGTATATGTATGTTAGAGTCTATATGTATGCTATAATCTATATATACATGTATGCTGTAATGTATAGGTATATGTATGTTGTCAATGCAATGTGTATGTTGGAATCCAAATGTATGCTGCAAATGGAATCTATATGCATGGTTTTCAAAACCTTAAATTACCAAGTTTCTCTCTCCTGAGTGGCTTTAATGTAAAAGAAAAAACTATAAATGATTTTCCAATAAGTTGGTTAAAGTTCAATGGTTTTGCTACCATTTGTCTCATCACTTATGTAATCAAAAAACAAGTCCTCTTTTCTTCTACAATTTGAGATTCTGGGATATACATTAGATGAAAAGAAACTCACCTTTTTCAAGACACATTTAGGCAAGGATGACCTTTTATGTGTTAAAAAGGAACGAAGATCCCATTTTTCTTTTTCAAATTTAGCTGAATGCTCAGGTGTCTGCAACATTCACACACAAAAACAAAAATATAAGGATAATGTAAGATTTCCAGCACAATTATTAATCAATATCACCTCACGTAATATCTGCTGAAGGACATCTTCACAGCTTTCTGATGAATCAAAAGTGATTTTACCATTTTGACCTGCATCAGCATCAGCTACAGCTTCATCACCAGTTTGAGGAAACAAGCTCTCCAAGATTCTTAAAGAGACAACCTCCTTTGCATCTTTTCCTAGATCACCTGAGATTGCAGGAGCCATTCTCACTAGACCTGAAACATGGAAAGTATAATTTTAAAATAAATATAAATGAAGAGTTTTGTTTTTAAGAGATGAAAGGAATATGAAGCATGCCTATTAAAGTAGACGCATCTGTTTGTTCATAAGTTGCTAGGGTTTCAATGACCCAATTCCATACAATGTCAGGAACAATAGAGCTCTTGGATGCCATGAAGATCACTACGAGTTTTTTCTGTTTTATCAAATTGATCACTGCAGGCTTTGTCTTAACTTTTCATGATATTTTTAGATTCCCTGAATAACCAATGATTAATAAGAATTCAGCTCCAACATTGGATATCCCATGTGTCAAAGGATGATATAGCAAAGTATTACAGTTATTTATTTTCTTTTAAGATTAAAACCTTTGATTAAACGGATTATTTCCTTACATCATCAGTGTAAACAAATTCTTAAAAAAACAGTTCTTATGTGAAAGCAAATGTCCCATAATCCCAATAAAGAAGGTATTCCCTGGATAGTAAACATGGATATAATGGTTTATAAAAAGAAAACTTACATGTGCATTTTTTTTGGAGATGGTGGGATTAATACGATAGATATTCCGGAAAGAACCCACTACGCTGGAGAAATCATCTACAAAATGTTGAAAATTTCTTGCTTCTAATGGTTTCTAAGCATAGCCATAAAAACAGAAAGCAAGATGATCATAAAAAAGCGTGGCTAGTCTGGGGTGTCAGATACATTCAATACCTAAAAAATCACAGGAAAAATCTTGCAAGTTTATGGAGCAATCAAAGGAATCGTAAGAGCATTGGGAATTAATAGACGAACTCTTTTCCGAAATTGGGAAGACATTTTCAAAAAATCAATTATAGGGGGATCAAAATCTTACCTGTGAGAGAATTGCATCCAAGATCATAAAAAACAGAACATGTGTCTGGCAATCAAGAAATCAATGTCTTTAACGCTTAAGGGTTAAGATCAACATACTTGAAGCACCGTTAAAACAAGGACCAAAATTACAAGACGAAATTTTTTGGGACAAAGATTACATAAAACAGCGATACTCGGAGACATTTTTAGAATTTTCAGTATTTAGGGCTTGGGGTGGAAGTATGGTGTTTTTGAAATTGGGCGTTCCTAGAGAAATTTATCCGTTCCTTGTGTAAATTTCAATACATCCCTTGTTTTATTTCTAGGTAACCGTTTGCCCCCTTAACTTTTATCCACTAGCATTTTAACCCCTTATATCGTAAGGTTTCTCTTAATTTTAATGTATTTGACGATTCCCACAAAAAAAAAAAAAAACTATTGGATTAAAAAGTCAACCTAAAGTCCTCCGTCCTCAACTTTTTTTATATTTTTCAATGTTATAAAAACGAGTTGGACAGGATACAAGAAAGGGAATTGTTCAATTAACATTGGTTTATGTTTATTTCTGGATCAGAAAGAACTAATCGGTTTTTACAAAAACCTGTTTGAACCGGTTAATTTGAATAAAAACACATGAAAATAAAACATTTTGCATAACAAACTTTAGTAGTCTTTTCATATCTATTTAGAGCTTTCATAAATTAAATAAAAAAATATAGAGGAAATGTTAAAACTATATTTTATTTTAATATCATAATTTATTTATTTTGGTGTATGTTGGTGAAAGTAAGGGAAAAAAACACAAAAATTCTAGAAACAACTAAAAACTAGTAACTAAAAAATTGGTTTTTAAAATACTGATATTTTTAAGATTCATTTGGGGATGAACTTATTGAAACCAATATTATTTCTTTGAGGCGACTAGTTTTTTAAATCAGAATCGGTAAGAAGATGGGTCCAAAAATTTGGTCTTGGAACTTTAGTTTGAAAAAGATCCAGTTTGGTTTGCTAGTCATATATCTGATCAGGTAAGTAGAAGTGAACATTACTAATTACTTCACAATTTAATAATTTATACAACATTAAGCCTTATAAATTTACAAATGGAAGATTTATACAACCACAGACTAAAAAGTTAATAAAAAACAATACAAACAAAATTACAATAAATTTATTTAAAAAAAAAAAAATCAATCATATAGAACCAGCTTTATCATGGCCCCACCTACGTCTACGAGCCCTTCTTTTCCTCCCATCATTTTTAGCCTTAACTTTCTCTTTCAAATCCCTCTCACCTCTCCTTTTATACATTTTAAAACTTATTTTCCTCTCAGCAGCCATCTCCCTCACTTTCTCTGTAATCTCAACAGCAATCTGTCTGTTGTAAAGCTTCCTCAACCCCTTCATAAGCTTCGCAAAAGTATCCGCTTGTGGCATCACTCCAGCATCCATCATCTCCAAACAATAACCACACGCATCCTTCACATACCCTTTTGAAAATAGCGCATGTATCCAAATCGTCCATGCATAAACATTAACCTCACACCCTTTATTAATAATACAACTCCAAACATCTTTACTCACTTCAATCTTATCACCTCTTAATAACGAATTCAAAAGATCCTTCATAACCCCATATTGAGGAACACAAAACAAACCTCTTCCCACCATTTCTTTAAAATAATCACAAGCTTCAACCAAACATTCTTGACCTATCAACCCATGAATCATATTCACAAAATTGTCGATTCCGGGGCTGATTCCATTCCGTTCCATCTCATTCCAGACTCGAACCCCTTCTTTAACATCCCCTAACTTGAAAGCCAAACGAATAATCGTATTGTAGATGTAAATATCCGGAAACAAACCGATCTTTTGCATCTCGTTCACAAGCTCTAAACATTCTTCCAATTCATCTTTCTTTTCGTGAGCGTTTAAAATATGTAAATAAGTCGTTTGATTTGGGGTGTGTCCTTTTTGAATCATGTGGTCTAATATCTCATAACCCTTTTTAATCTTCCCCCATTTACAAAACCCACTTATCAATGTAGTGTAAGTAACAACATCTGCTTCACATCCACACCTCTCCATTTCCATCAACAACTGCATTGCAGATTCCATTTTCTCTTGACCACAAAGTGATTGTATCAAAATGGTGAAAGAAGTCGCGTTTGGATCACAACCTTTTTTTCTCATTTCTTTCAAAAGGTCAAAAGCGTCCACCATTTTACCTGCAACTGCATACCCGTTGAGCAAATTGTTGTAGACAACAATGTCGGGGTCAAAACCGGCTTCTCTCATCTGCACCAAAACAAACTTAGCCTCCATTAATTTACCTTCTTTACACCACCCGTATAACAGAGAAGTGAAATGTTTGATTGTTGGTGGAAACCTGACTCTCATGTCTTCAAAAAGTAAAGCAGCTTCTTTGATGTTCCCATTCTTACACAATGCATCTAATAAACATCCAAACACGTATTCATCAGGCTCACAACCATACTTAGGCATTTCATCGAGCACCTCGACTGCTTTTTTCACAAGTCTGGCAGAAGCAAACCTTCTGATTAATACAACAAACACTTGTGGGGTTATAAGCTGTGGGTTTTCTTTTCTCATTTCTTCAAGAAGTGCCCATACTGCACCAAATTGTCTCATTTTTCCTAAGCTTTTTATCATGGATTTGTATATGTCATGGTTGTGAGTGTAACCAGGTTGTTTTGATGCCCAAACAAAGAATCTGTATCCTAAGTTTCCAGCATCACCACAACGATTCACCACACGTTCGGTTAATCCTGAGCGGATGATAACACCAGATTCTTGTAAAGCAAGTTCTAATTTTGGAACACGTGAGTGGAATTTCCTTAAGATTCTGTAAATCTTCTCAACATCACCTGAAAATTCATCATGGGGTTGATCATTGGAAGTGCCTTCGGGTTTCTTGTCAAGGCGAATTAGCCCTAACCATCGATTATCCTCGATATGGGGTTTTGCTGTTGAGGAGAATGAGCCCTAATCATTAATTCCCATCATTATGACAGAAAAACTGTAAATATGATATTTATAATATAAACACCATTCCTGAATACAGCAATTGACTTAGTTGTTTGAAATGAAAAATGTGCATGCATTACCTGTATGTTTCTCCGCTGAATTCCAGTCAGGGTCCCATTCACAGATGCATCTATGACAAGCACAGATGGAGACTACAATGAGTATAAAGAGACCAAAACTCCAATGAATATGAAAAGTTTCTTAATAGTAATCAGTCGAAGTAACATTCAGGAAGTGAACATAAACATAAAGCATTTCTACTGATTCAGATACTATGATGACCTTCAAGAGCATAAATGGGTTAAGATTCTTGTATTAATGAAAATGGTTCAAAACAACAGAGAAAACAGAGCACCCGAAATGCACCAATGAACAAATAGAGCAGAAATGAAACACGCATATACCATATAAATCTAGCCCTAACACAAGTAATTATCTAATAAACATCTAATTGAAAAGAACTACTGGTAATAACAAACAGAGAAAAATCCAAAATAGTAAGAAAACGCACCTGATGAAATGGAGGAACAATGATTCCGATTGGAAGGCTGCTGCCCTGATGTCGTTGCTGAATTCGAAGAGTAAGTTGCTGCGGGTTCACGGATAGAAGAGCACGAAGAACTGCAGTAAACTCCATTACGTACCAGACAACCGCCTGCAAAGCTTCTTCTCATTCTCCGTCCTCTGCGATGTCTCCCCCAAAATTCTAAATTAGGGTTTATCAACTTCAGAAAATGACGAAATATTGACCTTAAATTTTATCAAAAGCTCGTATCAGCCCTTACAGTTTAGAAATTGTCATTTGGGATTGTTGACTTTGACCTTCTTAATTTTAACGTTTTCGTCCATCTTCCTCTGTTAAGTGGTCTTGCCCCATTAATAATTCATTAATTCTACAGTTCTTTTTAAAGAAAATTTGATCTACAAGACTACAAGTCTACAACGATAAAAGTTGATAATGCACACACCTCCAACACATTGCTCATCAGTTTTTGAGATTGAGTTTACAAAATGTTTCAGTAAGCTTAAAAAAAATGTTTGGAAAATAAAAAAGTGATTTATTCGCACCCAAAAATTGTATGTTAACCCTATTTGACATGATTGTTTTGACATATATATATATATATATATATATATATATATATATATATATATATATATATATATATATATATATATATATACTAGAAAAGTTTAAGCACGACTCACTGAATGGTGATATGAGTTTCTTCTAACGTTATCTTTCTTCTAATGTTATCTAAAGTATATTGTGCTAATAAAAAAAATAAAGGAAAATGCAATGCTATAAATGGGTGAATATATACTAGAAAAGTTTAAGCACGACCCACTGAATGGTGATATGAGTTTCTTCTAACGTTATCTTTCTTCTAACGTTATCTAAAGTATATTGTGCTAATAAAAAAAATAAAGGAAAATGCAATGCTATAAATTGGTGAATTTTCATTTTCAATGTACAATGCATGAATAAGAAAAAAAATGAAAGTATATTATTATAATCAACAAATAAATTAAATTCCATAGTAGTTTCCTGATATGATTTTTCACTTTATGGAAAACGTAATTACCTGTCAACATCTTTTGTAATGCATTCTATTGATATTGGGATTAATCATAAAATACCATCTTTGATTTATCTGTTCAAGGTTTTATCCACTTGTTCATTGGTTACCTATTGATCTTTATTATTATGTCTACGACTTCACGATTCGACATGATCTAAAAAAGGTAAGCATGAATTACAAGGATTTGAGACTTTAAAAGCTTTTTTAGCTCCCGCAAACATACTTGGTGTAATCAAATAGCTAACTTATGTTTTTATTTAATTGAAGGAAAGTGATTCATTACAAATATTACAGTATCTTGGTAGCTCCTTTTTTCTTCTCCATTCGTAAGTTTTGTTTGTAACATCCCGGAATATCAAGAGCAGAGTTGAAGGGCTAAAAGTGAAACTATATAAGGGCAACTCGGTGAGTCCCTGGGTGGACTCGACGAGTAGGGTCGCGACTTTGGTCGCGTGTTGAGTGGTCTACTCGGCGAGTCCAAAGATGGACTCGGTGAGAAGAAGCTGAGTGGAGAAAACCCTAAATCCGGAGGATGAGCCCTATTTAAAGGACATTATACCCTCTCCCCAGCCTCTTTGATCTCCCTTAAAGTCCAGAAACCCTAGATACGTGATTGTGGAGGATTTGAGTGCATTTGGAGCTTGGGGAAGTGATTGTTGAAGAAATCTTGAAGGAGAAGAGACTTGGATCAAAGGGCTTTGCAAGGATTCGGATTAATCTTCTCTTGGAGCTTCCTTTTGAGGTATTATTTCATTATTGAGTTGCTATCATCTAGATTCATCATTTTTGGAGGTATAGAGTCATATCTTTTGATATATTGGAGTTTAGAGTCTAGATCTGAGATTGCTACCTCAGATCTGGAATGGAGAAGGGTTAAAATGCATAAAGGTCCCTGTTTTGAGTGATTGATGGAGCTATCTTGTCCTAAAACCCAAACCCTAGAGTGAAAATGCCTAGATCTTCTTGGATTCACGTAAAGATTGCCACTTTACGTGATGGATAGCCTTAGGAGGGGTAGATCTATGGTTTGGATCATCTGCATGGCTTGGAAAGCCTCTATATGAATTCAGACCCGGTGGTACTCGGCGAGTCACATGGGTGGACTCGGCGAGTTGGAAGAACAACTCGGCGAGTTGGATGAAGATGGCCTGGAACTCGGCGAGTTATAAGAACAACTCGGCGAGTAGGTTGAAGATAGTCGTAGACTCAGCGAGTCTGGTCGTAGGGTCCAAGTTTCTTTTGGATGAGCTGTGACTCGGTGAGATGTGTGCGTGTGGACTCAGAGTTGTTGGACTCGGCGAGTCTCGGGGGTGACTCGGCGAGTAGAGTCAGTCAGGTGTAGACTTTAACTTTGACCAAGGGTTGACCAGTTGATTTCCAGGGACATTTTGGTAATTGTTGAATATTGTTTTAAGTTCAGTGTATTGGTGGTTGGCGAGTGGTGGAGGGTCCTACCAGTAGTCGGAGCAGCTTGAGTTATCCATTCAGCTAGCAGTTTCGAGGTGAGTTATCCTCACTATATCAACAGGGTCTAAGGCACCAAGGTCGGCCCTTTATCGGATTGAGATCCGGGTATCTGTTGTTATGTTATTGCTTTGATATGTTTGCATCCTGGTAGTTAGGATGGTATTCGTTAGAGACCTGGTTAAGGTCGGTATCCTGGTATATAGGGTGATGTTATGCTAGTGACCGGTTAGGTCGGTATCCTGCTTAGAGTATGTTGTGTTACGTGATGTGCTAGATCGGTTTGATTGAATATGAATTATTATGTGATTGTATGTTTATGTGCACGTGGTTGTTTGGACTGGAGTTGGGTTGAGGCGGGTCCTGCTTTGTGCTGTAGGCCAAGATACCCAGGGCGGACCGGTTGTTCCGAAGGCCCAACGAACGGTCCGGATAGGTTGTAGGCCCCACGAGGGCGGACCAGACGTGTCGAGGCTCGGAGAGTGGACCAGGCCGACTGAAGGCCCGATGCGGACGGACCAGTCATATTGTAGACTCGGAGAGTGGACCAGGTGGGTTGAAGGCCCGGTGCGGGCGGACCAACCACACTGCAGACTCGAGGGACATGACTGGACTCGGAGGGTGGACCAGGTGGGCTGAAGGCCCGACACGGTGGACCAGTCTCACAGTAGACCCGATATGCATGGCTGTTCTGTGATTCGATATGATATGGCATGTTATGTGTATGGTATATGTGGTTGGTATTTTGGAGGTATCTCACTAAGCTTTCGGGCTTACAGTTGTGGTTTAAATGTTTTTCAGGTTCTTCAGGAGACTGTGGCAAGGCAAAGGCGTGATCGTACTGCTCCTCGTGTTTACGTTTTATGATATGGACCTGGGAATACTCTGATAATAAATGTATTGAAAACCTTTTTGTAATAACTTAAAGAATTGGGATGTTTTTGAAAAGTTTAAATTTGGTTGAAATTTTTGGGTGTTACATTATCTCTCCCCTTCCACCACCACAAACTGTAGTCCTATTCGCGAGTAAATTACATCAACAAAAATACAAACAAAAGGGCTTGCATGAAAACCCCCTTCAATAGAGTAAATGTACTAACACCATGCCTACACACATATCAACTTCCAATAATACTAAAATTTATTTTAAGAAATTAGGCTATCTATAATCATGTTATAACCATTAATAACAAACTTGGTATAGGGCTTAACACAATTTCCCGCAGAAGTTAGAAAGGTGCCAATTGCTTCTTACAATAAAGAACATGGAACCGTGAATACTATCTTCATCCGTTCATGACCCTTAGCTACAACAACCATCTACATCTACTCATTTGCTGATGGTATCATTCTTTCACCAAAAAAGAATATAGAACATGTTTATGATTTATAATCAATAAAACATTTCACTATGTGGCGTATCTCAAATTAAAAAGGTAATTTAAAGGAGTTTATTGAACTGCAAATATATAAGAATAAATAACCAGTTTAAGCTCACATGATTTTTTTGTTTCAAATCCCTTCCTAATAGCTTCAGTATAAGAATAAATAACCAGTTATTTCAAATCAGTATAGTGACAATAAAAGTTTATAAAAAAAAAACTTTTTCATACATATACATATAATGGTAAAAAACTGCAGCTTCTATGTTGGTATATGTATTGTGCTCAGCTGACTATGAAGAAAGAATTCAAGAAGTTATTTGAGTGATACCATCTCAAATAGATCTTAATTCAACAGAAAGTAGATGACATCGATACAAAATCACTCAAAACATCCGAAATCATGAAATTACCAATCAAATTGGGATTGATTCAACATAAGACTTCCTTTGTCTGAATCAGTATGTGTACAAATTTCTTTTCCTTTGCATCTATCATATAAACACCTCCATATAAAAGCACATTGATCATAAAACAATCTTAACAAAAATAACCGATTAAAAAATTACTGCAACTAAAACCCTAAAATCAAATCAAACTTCAATTATCAATTCAATTTCATTAACAGATTGCAAAATCGCCCCTAAAACACTAAAAGTGAATACACCTTGAGCAACGTATTATTACCTTATTCTGAATAACATCTTTTAGTATAGTAGTCATCCTTGCTAAAGTTTCTGTCTTTTTTTTTTTTTTTTTTTTTTCCATTTCACTTACATGTGTCAAGTGTATGACAATTTTATATCTTGCAAGTCCAAAAAGAAATAAGCATTCAACAAAAAACAATTTTATTTTATTTCTTTTTGTTTACCCAAAAAATAAAATCAGAATTCACCAAATGAGATTTGGGCTTTTAGTTTTTCTTTCTATTTCCCTAAAAAATAAAATTATGGAATCAATCACACGAAAACCAGAAAGAAGCAAAGATCGATGCCTTCTCCTTGCGACAATGAAGTTCCACTTTCAAATTTGCAATTTGTCTTTGTACAAAGGTTATTTCCCTCAAGACTCATATCAAGTCATTGCCTTTTTCACCAATAGCTAATAAATTTTGCAAGTCTTCCTAAACAAAGAATAAAAAAAATCAAGGGAAATGCAAGCAGTCAAACATTTTGACAATATTGTACTGCTAATAAATTTAAATGCCAAACAAAACATATTCTTGGAATAATTGCGTTCTATTGCGTCATATAGGGATTAGTGGTGGGGTTCTTTG